CAGCCCATGTACAGTAAATGGCAGGATGTGCCACGTATGTAAAACGAGTACCGTGTGCCATACATAGGTGCTGTCTTGCAATTATGAAACATTATGAAAGTACTCCGCCTCATTTACCCACAACTCATTTACCTACAAAGACGCTTCGGGGACGAGGCAGTTTTGACCTGCTGCAGCTATCGATACACGTGCTCACAAATGAGGTCAAATTACTGTATTATTTTATTTATATTATTATTTCTATTATTTGTATTATTTATTTTTACCTACGTAACTTTACCGAAAAAAACCTAAGAGTATGAATCATTGCAGTCACGAAAGCTTCACATCTAGAATTAGGTCAAATTACATTTTCATGGCTTTTTTTGGATGAAGGACCCCAACCCACGCTGTGTTTGTCACAGCGGGGGGTTGGGGTGGTTGATTGACCATACTTCACTAGGCCGGTCAAGTGTGGGTGTGGTGCTCAGAGCACAGCACTCAAAAGCCAAATGGCGTTCGCCGTGGCCATAAATGGCAAACTGAGAGGGGTTGCCGGGTTCATAGCGCACTGCGACAGCAAGCCCTGGGGGATGCACAAACACGGGGTTCGGCTTACGTAACTTCGGACTGTACGCAGTATTTCCCCGAAAATGTTTTTTTTCTTTTCCCCCGGAGTAGAGAGAGAGGAGGAGTAAGAGGAGGATGGGAGGGTGTAAACGGTATGGTTTGTTTTACTTTTAAACGAGGGTGAAACGTCGCGCGAAGATCTCGTCCCCAATTTAGAGAGGAAACCACAGAAGGGGAAAAAAACCCCGACAATATTTTCAATGACGAAATCAAGGACAAAGACGCTGAGAGTGCGACGGGCTCGGGAGGGGGGGGGGGTAGCTTCGTACACGTACTGAAACGTATGATGTACTCATATATTTGTGAATGGGTGCACGGCATCTGCTGATAGCTGCCGTGATAGCAGCAGCAGCAACAAGGAAGTTGTTGCTTCTTCTCCCTCTCGTAAGGCTGCCGATGTTAGACGCAGAGCAACAACTACAATGTCACATTCAGGTGTTCAAGCCAGACAACCGCAGCGTATCGCTGTTGGATGATACCTCCTTCGTATGTGTGGATCGGGGGGCTGGGGGGGGGGCATTGCGCCGTTCTACGTTGTACCACGGTCGCACACTGCCCGGGAAAAGTTGTTTTTATTATTTTACATTTGTGCCTCGGGTATCCGCATCTGCTGCCGTGATCTGTGCATAGCGTATGCGATTTCGGGTTGGAACACGAGCTTCGTGGAAGATCCAACCCAGTGAAGTGTTCTGCTGTTGTTGCTGAGAGCAGCAATCTCGAGTCTCGCCATGGAGGCGTCTGCGCGGTACAGTTCGAGGGGAGGGGTGAGGGGCGGCGGGGGGTTGGCGCGCGCGCGCGCATGCGCACATACGCGCGCGCGCGCGGGGTCGTCTGAGGTAACCGAGCGTCACGTGACCGCAACTCCAATGCGGGTCACGGGCGAGACGAGCGCCCGGGTGACGCGCATTCCCCCCTCCCCCCACGTGCCCCGCCCCTCACCCGTTGTGGGCGGGACCCCCCCACCCACCACTGCGCGTGCTCCACCCCCTCCTCCCATGGCGCGTGACGTCATCCCCACACAACCTCTCTGCCACACAACCCACAAGCCATCATCCCTTTGCTTGACACTACTATAATATGACAAATCATCATGATATGTTTAAGATGTTTTGGTTTCCCATGAATAACATCACCAATATGTGAAATGGATAACGTTACAATTATATCCTACAAACAGCATTCTCAAATCCCTGGCCCATAAGAAATACCAATGGGCAATGGTATTGATTGCTATAGCTGTAGGTGGGACGTATGGGATGCACAGATATGATAGAAACATATACTATTAATTGAAACTAAGGCGTTATCAATGCGATTAAATTATTTGCTTAAAACATGTTTTAGTGTCGTGTATGGAAGTTGTAACGTACGTATACATATGATATAAAAAATATGTTTTTCAGCTTTAATTGTAGGGGGTGGTGGTGGGGGAAATGCGACCTGTATACTCTTTGGTTCTCTCGGTAAAGTCACGTAGGTTGTCTCACCTGATGACGATTGCTTGTGTTGCGATCGAAACGTCGTGAGCTATTATTTTTTCGACCTACGTGACTGCACCGAAAGAACCAAAGAGTATGTATTCCTGCAATCACGAAAGCTTCAAATCAAGATTGAGACCTGTATACTGAAAAAAGTCAGCCATTTATCGGCAGAGGAGAAAATTAAGGTGCTGTATCAAGGAGGCATCATCACCGTGTAGCTGGGACAGGAGAATTCCACACAAATAAGGGGCAGTAGAGGAGAATGAGCGACCTCTCACTGAGCAAAGAGAGTGAGTTGACTGGAGTGAGTTGAGAAGGGAAAGGTAGAAGAGTTCACAATAAAGCTTTTTGTGGGGGGGTTCGATTGCATAAATATAAATGTGTCGTTAACCCGTCACCACACGACACAGCCAATTAGTAATGTTTGTTACGTAAACAAAACGTGGCAATGAGTTACTACGTCAGCACACCGGTGTGTTGGAGAGTAAACCCACAACATTTGCAATTTGACTTCGACGTTTTGCTGGTGATTACAGGCGATTTATCTTTTAGTTTTAAATAAAGTAAAGGTGATTTCATCACTGTGATCCTTATCACGTGAAAAGAACATACGTGATCTATCCAAAAAAAAAAACCTTTATTATGGTATAATATTGGTCGAGAAAACCTACGTGTGGAGGGGAGTCGAGAGAAATGAGAGGGGGAGTTCGGGAGGCTGAGTGAGGTGAGAAGGAAGATGTAGGCAGGGGAGAATCACGGATGAACTTAAAGATGGTGAGGACGATCTTGAAATTGATTCAGGATTTAATTGGTAGGTTCGATCTGTCAGCTGCAGGATTTTTTTACGGAATGGATTTTTGGAAAACCAGGCCAAAAACATGAATAAGGCAGAATTATTTTCTTTGGGTCTTTCGGTAAAGTCACGTAGATAGGTTCAACGAAAATAACAACCGCTTGTGTTGCGATTGAAATGTCGTAGTTTTTTGTTGTTATTTTTTGTTATTTTCTTTGAATCTTTCTACGTAACTTTACCGAAAGACCCAAAGAATATGAATTCCTGCAGTAACGAAAGCTTTAAATCAAGATTTAAGGCAGAATTACTTTTAGGGGATTTTACGCAAAATTCCGGGTAAAAAAAAACTCTATCGTGTCCATGAATCAGGCCATAGGTGTGCTCCCATTACATCACAACAAAAACACATGCAGGTACATTGACAGCCTCGGGTTCATCCATACCCGTTTTGTCTTTTAACACGTAACACTGCAGACAATGAGATTAGCCATGGTCTTCAGTGTCAATGAACTCTCCAATGTGTTTGAAAAGTGTGCAGTAGGAGAACGTTTTGAGGAAATACATAGCATTTTCCCCAAGGCAAGTCTGGGAATCTCACATATATTGGATTCTGATAGGGTTATTGTAACTAGACACTGTTAAATCTGGGATGTGGGTGATGTCGAATCACGTATTGTAGACAAACTATATATTGGTAGTATACAGTGCATAGCAGTACGGTATACACATTACCATGTAAGCTGTATACAATATGCACACATATCATATGTGCCTCTCAGCTTCTCACTCTAAAGGGTGGTTCAGATGTCTTGTGACCCCCATTTAATAATAAAAAACGTAATGTTTTTAAAGCTGAAATGAATATGCAAAGTAGACAAAAAAATTGGGACCACCCTGTACAATGGCTCTGGTGAAGAAGACTTGCATGGTGGCATAGCTTCCCCTTGTGCAGGAAACATCTCGCCATCAATCTTACTCCTCGTCCGATGGAGGCAGAGAACAAATCCAATGTGGATTCATTCTCTTTATGGTTATGCGACTCAATCCCTTTCTTTCCCACATACCTCAACCCACCCACCAGGCCAGTCGAATTCTCCCACCCCACTGTGGCCACTCGTAGGGGGTTGAGATATGCCGGTGGAAAGTGGAGGGAGGGTGCAGATGCGGTGAGGGGAATGAGGCAGAGGATGGCAGGAAATGGGGAAGTGGGTGAACAGGAGCGGTAGGGCTAGTGAGGTGGAAATGGAGGGCTTAGCTTTGATAGAAGAGTCAAGAAAAAGTAGACGGGAGGTGGGATTGGCAAGGGGGTGGCATGGGTGGGGATGGAACTGTGGAATTGAGAAAGTATTGGCGGTGGTACAGATACGAATGTGGCATGCATGGGGTCAGGGGTATCGATGGGTTGGTGATCATAGACAAAATAAAAAATATAAATAATGGGAGATCGACGTTAGCCAGGCAAAGATGTAAATGTGAGCACGCATGGGTGTGTATAATTGGACGTGCAGACAAGGATAAGGGTGCTGCTGATAATGCGTTGCTATGGCAGAGTTACTCGTGAACACTGCTACTGTAATATCTGTTGCTGTCTGTGTTGAGTGAAAGGGAACGGTGTTGAGGAGCGTGGGCGATGGAATTGAGAAAGTATTGGCTTGTGAGTCAGCGGCTGTGGGCCGGGCTCTCGCCTCCTCCTCCCATGCCCAGCGTGGTCCCTCCCTCCCACAAGGACAAAGGGCCCCCGTATAGCCTCAACAGACGTTTGGGGCAAGTGCTGTTAGCGAGTAGCAAACCACATATGAAGGCCGGCATGGTACACGAATAGGTGTGTTTGTCAGTACCAGTGGCGACGATTTTACACACTGCATCAGGTATACTCATTTGAGGCTGAGTCGACCTAGGGGAGGGCCCAGGACCGGCTCAATATGATCGCCACCCGTGTTGGTGGACGTGAGCGGGGGCTGGGGGGGGGTCGCCGGGTTCGTAGAGCTCCCCTCCCCACACATCCCTCCCACCCACTTCCTCATCACCCACCCACCCCCACCCACCCACCCCACCCCCTCCACTCACCCACCCCCAGCGCACGCAGCACCACCACCCCCACTCACAAAAGCCTCAGCATGGCGCGGTAACACACGGGTCCGAGAGGCTCGCTCGGCTCCCCTAGCCAGGGGTGGCAGGGGGGGAGAACAGCCGACTTGCCTCTACACAAACAACAACAACATCAACACTTGCAGCAGCGCACGGCGAAATGGCCACAGCTCCGGCGGGCCCCGCGTCTGCCCCGGGTTCCCCGTCTGCCAGGGACACCAACAACATGCTCTTCCTGGCAGCCGAGGCGTCCAGCGCCGGCAACTTCGAGCTGGCGGCGGACATCTACGGCTGCGAGCTGCAGAGGCGTTTGCCGCCCGGTTCGAGTCCCGGTCCCGATGACAGCGGCGGCGATGGCAACAGCAGCGGCAGCAACCTCCAGCATTGCCACCAGCATCACCAGCAGCAGCAGCACTGCCCGGCCACGCAGGAGCTGCTGCTGCGGCGCGCTGACGCTTTGGCCGGCGACGGCCGCCTCCGCGCCGCCCTCGACGACTACGCGGCCGCGCTGCGCCTCGGCCGCCTGCAGCCCGGCCGCCTCGACGCGCTCATCGACTGCCTGGCGCAGCGCCTGCGGGCCCACAGGGGACTCGGGGCCGCCACGGGGCCCGCGTCTGGGTCGGCGTCAGAGACGACTCGGAGGGGATCCGTGTCTGCGTTCGCAGCGGAGTCGAGGTTGGACACCGGCTCTCAGTCGAGTTCTGCCGCGTCCGTGTCCGGGTCTCGGCAGGAGCCCCCCCACCACGTGTCGGGGAATGCGTCCCCAACCTGCTGCGGTCACCTGTCAAGTTTGGAATCCGGTGCCGGCTCTGGGTCTGGTTCGGGGACCTGCTCCGGGCAAGGGTCAGCAGCGAGACCACAGGCTGCTGCCACCGGAGTCGGAATTGGGAATGCGGTTGGCCTCGATGCGGGGCAATGCGCAAATACTCAGCCGCCGGTGAGAACCGCGTTGAGAAGTAGCCCAGAGGCACCGACTGACACGCATTCTGAGACTGGGTCGGGATCCGAGCCGGGGGCTGAGGCCGTGCCGGGCAAAGGGGGGGCGGGTGGGACTCTGGAGAGCGGTACAGGACCCGGCTACACGCGGCCAGGAGGATTGGGCACTGGGGGGGCAGTAGGACACATGGAGGAGATGGCTTCTGGCGCAGCGGCCGAGCAGGGAATGAAGCTGGGCACTGGGCAGGTGCCCTCGTCCGTCCTGGGGCCTCTCCTGGGACCTGGTCACGGAGCGGGCCAGGCTGTGTGGCCGTGCCACGGCGCTCCGGGCGCCGGTGCAGCCATCGGGCAGTCGCACGGGGCGACGAGAAGCCGCGCTCAGCTCCTCCAGGAGCCCAGCGGCGGCTGCTGGGACCCATTGAGCTGCCCGCTGTGCCGTGGCCTCCTGGTGGAGCCGAGCACGGGCCCCTGCGGCCACAGCTTCTGCCGCCGCTGCCTGGAGAGGGAGGGCCCCGAAGTGTGCCGCGTGTGCGGCGCGGAGCTGAGGCGCATGGACGTGGCGGTGTGGCGGGTGAACGTCCTGGTCAGCGCACTGCTGCAGAAGCTCTTCCCGGCCGAGAGCAAGGCGGCCACGCTGCGCTACGAGGGCAACGCTCTGTGTGGCCTCAAGAGGCTGGACGAGGCGCTGGTCACCTACACAGAGGCGCTGAAGCTCGGTGAGCGTCGTCGCTCCGTTGGTTTGTTGCCGCTTGGTTTGGTGTGTCATGTCAGTGCGTGTTTGGGGAGCGGTGGTGTAGTGGTTAGCGCGCTGCCCTTACGACTCCTGCGCCCCGAGTTCGATTCCCTCTCACAACCAACACCGGTGACGATTATCTGAACCGGTGCTGGGCCTCCCCTAGGTCGACTCAGCCTCAAGTGAGTACGTGGGGTGGTGCGTAAACATCGCCACTGGGGAGACAAAGGCGGTCGGGTGTGGTGCTGGCCATCAACCACCTAGTGTGCCGTGCTGGCCTTTATATGTGCTACTCGCTAACATAACTTTCCCCAATAGTGTGTTGTGGGCATACGGGGGATCTTTGTGTGTGTGTATCTATTTTTTTGAATGAAGTTATGCAGTGTGCGTGGTCCTGCTGTGCTGAAAGGTGATCGATGCACCAACAAATAATTCAAAAAGAGGGACAATATTAGAGTTGTGATTCCGAGATGGCATCTTCCATGAGCACGATTGGCTACGTACGGTGCGGAAAAAGTTTAACATAAATGGCTCGGAGCATTGGACCGTTTTCTTAAAATTTGTGGAGAAGTCTATTTCGTTCCTTATATAGAGGCGTAGATGTGTTGTAACGAAACGGTAAGACTTCTCCACAAATCTGTCTGTCGCCTGATGAAGCTAGTAGTTGTAATTACTGGCGAAACGTCGTACTCGGATTGTAAATGTTGTGGCTTGGCTCTCCAACACACCGGTGTGCTGTACTAGTGACGAATTGGCATGTTCTGTATAGTGACAACCCTTGCTAGTGGGCTGTGTCGGGTGGTGGCGGATTTTAACGACACATTTACGCGATCTAACCCAAAAAAACCCTCTTATGGATGTTATTGGTCGCGAAAGCGTATGTGTTAAATAAGATATCCCGCTAACTCACAATCTTTGCAGAATGGGGACTGTAGGTTTTAAAAAAAAATCGTGAGGATGGTGAGATGGTCTGTTGAGCTTCAACCTCTGCCTTTGTGGTGGGAGCTGTCGATTAAATTAATCTCAATGCTGCTCTTTATCACTGGCAATTATGGAGAGCTTGGGGCCTGATTTGCCTGCTGGTGCAAGCCACTTTTATGCCGATTTTTGATACAAATTGCGTTTCTGCCAACAAATGTATGCCCTTGGTCTCTGCTTTGTCAAAATTAACTTAAGCATGCATGGTTAATTATTTTGGCCCTTTGTGCATTGTAATACTGTGCAGTGTGGTTTAACATTGTACGATTGTTAAATTACATTTTACAAAAGCTCGACACATTGGTCAATGACACTGCCCTAAAAGTATTTTTGTATAAGTTTAGTTTTGGGGAACAGCCCTTCTTCATCGCACAAAGAAGAGCACATGGTCTGTGTGCTATGAAGGACAATTTCTGAGCATGTCACCTATTATTTTTTTTGTTCATATTATAGGGCCAATGTTATTGATTAACGTGTTCTTGTTTCTTGTGCTAATACACCAATGCACTTATTGAAAAAAATGATTCGATTAGATTTAGATTGTCTACATTATAGATAACATCAGACCATTGGCTGTGCCCAGCACCCACATTGTAAATTTGTTTGCATTGTGTCACGTTGTGGATGGGTTGACCAACATAATTTTCCTAAGGTTCGTTTTTTAGTGTTTGATTAATTGTACATCAATTTCATTTTGAAAGGCAAACAGCTTAAATTTGCCTTAATGTGTAAACAGTTGATGGGTTTATTTAGCAAATTGTTATGTAATTGTATTTCTACCCATCTGTGTGTTCATATAATTCGACATGTAGTGGCATACTTTATGTAATCGGGGGTGGAGATAGTCAGTCCCTCCAGAAAAACGCGATTATGCGATCGCAAGATTCCACGCAAAATCAGCCAAAGTCCGCATATTTATGCGGGGGGCGCGTTTTTTCAAATACGCCGCACTTTCGCCGCATAAATTGCAGATTTCCGCGCGCAAAATATGCGGGCTTGCATGATTTCATAATCCACGCATTTTCGTTGCAAAAAGTCACATATATCTTAGCAGAAAGTTTAAAAATATTGCGTTTACTTCACACAAGCGCAGCCATTTCCCCTGTTGCCATGGGAACGTTATGAAGTGTTAGAGGCTACGTAGTTAGTTTTATTCAGGAGTTTATGCAACTTTACAGTTGTAAGATTGCACTTTTTTGTTAGTAGTATGTAAATTTACATTACTGTAAGACTGTACTGTTACTGTATTGCTTGCGTTACTGTGCACTGAAAACACTTATTTTAACAGAAGATGTCTGTTTTGTATAGCTACCTCTGTAAAACAGGAAGCACACATTTTATTTTTTAATATTTTATTTTTTTATATTTTATTTATTCATTTTTACAGAAGTTGTAGCATATTCATTTAGTAAAGCTACAGAACTTGTTCGACTCAATGTTTTGTAAGTTTGAGCCATCTGTTTGTTAAGGTCTGAAATAAAACAAGATGAGAACTTAAATATTCCCAGCACTTTCTGTGATGTAGTATGCTTGCTTATCATAGGAAGTAATAAGAAATGACTCTTTACATTAAAGTAGTAGCCTAGTGAATAGGGTGTTGGGGGAATCACTTTTTTTTCTCTTTTTCATCAAACCGCAGTTTTTGCAAGTTCCCGCAATTTTTGCAAGTTCCCGCAATTTAATCGCGTAAAATTGCATAAATATCCCGCATATTCCATCGCATTTTTTAAGAAAACGTGCCGCATAATCAACGATTTTTGCCCGCAACAATCACCAAAAAACTCCGCGTTTTTCTGGAGGGACTGGATAGTGGCGGTGGCGCATTGATTCTTGCACAATGCTATGAACTCAGGACTTCCATTCATTTCACAGCCACTGTTTACATAAGTTGCGAGTGAATGCTCTGCTGTCCTGGACAACCCCTCTAAGAAACTATGACGATCAACGTGGTGAAATATGGTCAAGCAACCCCCATGACTGACAGAGCATGGATAGCCTTTCACCCAGCAGAGGATTGACAAGGGACTGTAGATTAAGATTATCGCTTCATATATTTACGTCAAATGTTCTTTTTACATAAATGCACAAGTAATTAGCTACATAGAAAGGCAAATGGGGAAACCGGAGTGACCATGTTTTACTGCCTTTGTGTTCAAATACTAGGAATGTGTTGCTTGGCTTTCTTTTAAAATTCTAAATTAGTGCACGAAGAAATGTCACACTTAGCCTGACTCAAGACCATTGCATCTACACTCTATTTGCAGTGGCTTTGGTTGTGAAGCCTTATTGGGGAAGCTGCAATAGACGTGTTGACCAAAAGCCATTAAATAATTCATCCTCTTCTGGTCAGGCAGTCGAAACGTTTTACTGGTAGAAACCTCCTGGTTACACCAGCCCACAGGGGATTATTGTGTCCGTCGTGCAGGGGGGGGCTGGGTGGGGAGGGAGGGGCTGGGTGGGGAGGGTGGGGAGGGGCTGGGTGGGGAGGGGAGGAGCTGGGTGGGCAGGGTGGGGAGGGGCTGGGTGGGGAGGGTGGGGAGGGGCTGGGTGGGGAGGGTGGGGAGGGGCTGGGTGGGGAGGGTGGGGAGGGGCTGGGTGGGGAGAGGCTGGGTGGGGAGGGTGGGGCTGGGTAGGGGGGGTGGGGCTGGGTGGGGGGGCTGGTCACCCCGTGGTGCCCTTATAAAACTCAACGTGTAACCTACTCACGCCGGCTTGTGCTCGCCCTCACAGTCGGGCATATTTGCGGATTCCACCACGCCGCCGTTGACCCTGGCCATGAATGTGTTTCTCTGACCATGAAGTAGGAGTTCTGCGACAGCAAAACACCCCATAGATGTGAGCCTCATTCGGTGTAGTTTTGTGCCAGTGTCACATTTTTCCTAGTGGTGGGTGAGTTTTCTGATGCCATTGGCATAAATGTCGTTTTTCACTTTATGTATGTATGTTGAATTTTTTTCGCACCGTACGTAGCCACCAACCGTCCTAACCGGAGGTAAGTGCCCCCCTTTACAAATATACCCTCGCAGTGGAGCCCCCCACAGATATGTTGTCGCCTTTTCAGCGAGTCTGTGGGCTTCTGCGCCTGGGACAATGCATATGTTATCAGAGTATGTTTTTTGTTTGCATTTTGATCACAAGCATTGTGGTTAATGCAGACATGATTCCTTGTAAAAGGTTTCAGTTTGGTGTTTTAACATCTTAACACCTGTTTTGTTGCCAGAAAAAATGGGAAAAACCTATTATATTTTGGTATTGGCAAAGGAGGTCCCATGACGTGTCTAAATAGATTAGGATAAAGACAATAAAGTAATAAATGTAAGGATAACATTAGGCACTGACTTCAGTATGTCCAGTAATCACAAATTTTTTTTTTAATGCTCAGGATTGAACACTTCTGTAAGAGTTTTTTTGAGCATCGGTTTTAACCCTGAATGACAGCGATTTGGTTATTGAGCAAAGCACAACACATTGCTGTGTGTTTTTCTGTAGTTGTATGAAAAGGTGGTTGAGCATAATATCACAATAGCAAGATTAGAATTGGAGCTCAGTAGTGTAGTAGGGTGTGCCCTGGATTTTTAAACCAAAGACCAGAGTTTAATTCCTGGCCATGACCAACATCAGTGGCAAGTGATATCTGAACTTGTCCTGGCCCTCGCACCTTTATGTTAAAATATAACCCTAGTGACTGAAAATCTATGTGGGGGAGATTTTCATCCTGTTGAAAATTGCTAAAAGGGCAATTTTGTTAATTGATTGTATTGTGAATAGTTGCAATATTCAGCAATAAAAACTGTTTCAAGTGTCTACTTGTTCCAATTAGAAAAATGCAGCTCACATGCCTGTTGATAACCCAGGGCCAGCGATGGAAATTCCACATTTCTCCCATAGCGGGGACCTCTATAAATGACAACTGTTGACCTTTTACAAAGTGGCAATTTATCTACCAATCCACCACCAACGGGATTGTGCCAAGTTCCCCTCTCCTGGGATTTGAACTTCTAAAAT